CTATAGGCCAGATAGTATTCTCAAAATACATAAAGAATTACTGTACAAATATTAGCTAATATGAATTGATTAGTAAGAAATACTCATCCATTATAACTAATAGTCACACTAATCCTTTTACTCCCTGTTACCATTAAATTTTTTTTACAGAAATATACATTGAAGAGAAAAATGAACATCAGATAGATTATTTGCCTTAATCAAAGTCAAAAATGATTGAGCAACAAGGCTGATGCAAATTCCATACGCTTCATTCATGCACTGTACTCTCTATTTCTCTGAATTCTGCAGTTCTGGCTTCTGTTAAGATCCTTGACTATCTGTGTTCTGAGCCTAGAACCTGACAGCCGCTGATGATCCAGGGAGATGTACTGAGAGTCTTACGTGAGCATCACAGGCTCTCCTTGGCATAGGCCTTTGTAAAGCCCCTCCTTTGGGATTTCATGTGAAGCATATGGGATCTGATCTTTTGGTCCACACCCTTTAAGTAGATGAAGTCAAGTTTATTACCAGACGCCATCAGTCAGAATTCCCATTGATCCTCATTATTGAATAAAGAGATTTATTGCTCTCAGGAAATGGTAGCCAGGATTACTGTTGACCTCTCCACAGACTGGGCTCTCAGGTAATGATATGGCCAGGAGGATGCACCCATCTGCATCTACAGGTGCATGAGATTGTAGCAAGAACAGGTCCCCAAGAGTGTGATTCATCTTGGGGTCCAGCCCTTTCTATCCAGAAGCATGATCTGAATGTCTCTAAGGAGGAAAGAGACATGGGTTCCCAGGGTGTACAAGTCAGTCGGGTGCAAGACCAGAGATAAGGGGCTTCGGAAATGGAATTCTGTGTTTACACTGAAAGGTGTTTACTTTGGGGAGGACTGAGGCACAGCACAGTGCAACAGAAGAGGAGCTGAAACAGACCACACAGAGTACCTTTGTGGCCCCAAAGTCACTTAGAAATTTCTCTGATCTAACAGCTCCATCTACAGCCATGTTTCCTACCCATATTCTGAGCCTCTGTATGTGCCATTCATAGGTCCAGTTGGTACAGATCCTGATAGCCCTCCCTGGGACGGCACAGCCTCCTCAAGGTGAGTGGCAGCAGATGGAAAGGCAACCCTGACTCACAGCACAGAGCATAAACTAACACACGCAAGACTGAATTTTACAATGTCAGGTGGGAAAGACACAAAACTCAGAAATTGACAATGAAATTTTAAATCTACATAAAAATAACTGCACATCAAAAGGAACCCTATAGAGAATGACAAAGTGTAAAAATATTTCGAATATATATGACAGAGATAATTTCAAACTATATAAAGAGATGCTACCAACCAAAAAATATATAGGCCAAAAAAGTTAA